GCATGAACCAGGCTTCAGAAGCCAGAGGAAGCGGCCGCAGAATGAAGCCAGCAGTCCAGCGGCGGCCATGTTGGGTCATCATTAGGGCGGGGTATTTTGGCCAAAGTCCTGAATCGATTCGATTTCGATTCATACACTTCTAAATCGATTAAATTTGATTCAATCTGCTCTTACAATAATAAAAGTGGCTCAACTTTTGCAAAATAAACATGTAATTTTTATTTTTTCCTTTCATATTATACACAAAGTTCAAACAAAGTGCAGACTTATAAACAAGAGTTTAAACTTGGGATGTAAACAAAACTGTATCAAGTCTCAAAAGTGCTAATTTGTAGAAATAAAAGTTTTGCAAGTGAAAAACTTTTACTACACTGCAATTTGAATAAAGGCGTTTTCTCTGAAGGGGCAAAAAATACTGGAAACTAAATAGAAAGTTAAACTTGGGTCAGATGCAATCAACACAACCTTTACCACGACCAAACCATGGAGAAAAAATGTCTTCTATAATATTTAAGTAGAATTTCAGGGGCCGATTATCTGCTCATCTGCTCAACAACCACCTACTTCAGTGTGAAACTATCGGCCTTAAAACTGTTAGCATAAGTAGCTTCTTTCATCGGTTTTAACACCCGGAGCAAATCCTCAGCAATCATTACATCCTCCTCTGCATGAATCTTTTTCGTTCCTGCGTACGTCTTTAGAAAGGAGAGCAGCATAGAAGGCTGGTTGTTGCTCTAAAAGGCGCTCCAACAGGTCCACTGTTCCATCTCATCACAACATCAACTGTTAGCTTATGCGCAGGTAGTTGAAGCAGCTGCTGTTTTTCTTTCAGTCTGTGGTTTGCTGTTGTTCTGGTGAAAATGTTTCTATACGCTTCACAGGAGGAGGCAGACGCGACACAGCGGGGATTTTCAGACCTGCTTGGGAGGCTAAAGCAGCCGACATGCATCAGCTACGTTGTTTCCACTGCAAGAACCGTATGTGCAGCATCGTCCATAACAACTGCTGGGTGTTTGCTGGTCAGCCCCATTTCTGTATGGCCCCCCCCCCGTCAACATGTCAGCAATATTAGCAGCAGTGTGACTCCAGATCAGAGGCGCTACTCATTATCAATGTAGTGGGAAGTCACCGTTACGTAGGACTGTGATTTCAGAGATTTGTAATGTTTCTACGGTAACTGACCTCCGCTGGACAGACCTTTGGCTTCATCCAGCTCATTGTCTTTAGTTCTTTTAAATCCAAAATGGTTCCAGACGTCAGACTTGAATTGGGACGGCTTGCTGAGCGGTGTGTTACCTGCGTCGGTCATTTTGCATTTGCCTACTCTTCTACGTCACTTGCGTCTCTATAAAACTAATCCACCTCATTCCCTACGCATCGATTTAGGAAAATTTTACTGGAATCGATCTGAAATCGACCCCTAGTCGTCACTCACCCGGCTGAGTCGGGACACGGCCAGAGAGACGCAGGTCTTGAACTCGTCGGGATTCTTCTGGCTCAGACAGGTGATGAGGGAGATGGCCGCTGTCACCACGCCCTGCAGCAACAGGAAAGCCGTCAGCCCCGAGCCCCGCCTCATAGTTCTCCCTGCTGTGATGCGTGTGGGCGCTCACCATGTGCTGGTCGTTGAGCAGGTGCACCACCCGTGACGTCCACTCGCCCATCAGCACCAGGTCAGGGGACGTCTTATAGAGGCGCAGCAGGCACAGAGCGGCCGACTGCTTCACGCTGTCCATCGTATCGCTGCGGTTCAAACGGACACGGGTCACAGCTGCTCACACCCCCCACGCCAACCGGCCCCTCCCGCCCAGCTGTAAGCAGACTCACCCAGCCACCAGGATGCGGGGGATCTCGCTGGCGAAGGCCTCGGCCATCTCCCGGCTGCCCACGTTGGCGATGCAGTGGAGAGCCAGGCACATGAAGGTGGGGTTCCGGCTGGACAGGTCGTTCTTGATGGCGTTGTTGATCAGACGGATCAGTTCGCTGTTACTGTTCACCAGAACCGAGATGAACAGGTAGCCCTGGAAGGAGCACAGCGGGTCAGTGAGGAGGAGAGGGGGGGGTAAGAGAGGGAGGAGGAGACAGGGGGGACGTGAGGGAGGAGGACGAGGAGACAGGGAGGACGTGAGGGAGGAGGAGGAGGAGACAGGGAGGATGTGAGGGAGGAGGAGGAGGAGACAGGGAGGATTGGCAGATTAACTACTTTGTTCCATCCAGTGAATGTGACGTAATCAAAGGTTTATTACAGTTTATTAAGAAAAAACGTCACAATTTCAAAACAACAATCAGGAACCATAACCCCATTATTGGCCAAAGAAAGGCCCTGGCAGCCCCCAAAGCGGTGGCAGTAGACATAAGAGCCGATCTGGTAGACTGTGGCTGTAGTGGCAGCTGCCACGCCATGGCGGCCTGACCTGCTACTGGTAGAGCCACTATGAGCTTCCACTGCCTGCCGCCTCTCTCTCTGTTTCATCCAGACTCTCTGCTCTCCATCACACCCATTTCACAGAAACATTACAGCCTCATTCTTAGTGGGTTTTTACCGAGCAGTTTATTTATCCCGCATTGGTAAACCTCATAGAAGATGAAGAGGCCGTAAGAGTTTAGGTACGGATTGAAACTGGTCCAGCCTTCTGCTGCCTCCACTGGACCTCGCTTCACGGTCTGCTGACGGAAAGGTTCCTTTAGACAACTGGATGTTTTCTTCCAAGAGGCTTCCTCCTCAGTTCTGATTATATTAAACAGCACTTCCATCATTCACCACTGTTTGGCGCCATTTCCCTTTTTCCTCTGAGCACAGCTTGGACTCCCAATGAATCATGGGATACCCATGGAGGATACAGCGGACCTGTCCTTTAAAACCGATAAAAAGAAGGACGCATTTATCGGCCGTATAACGAGAATTCTTCCGATCAGAACAGACATCGGATTCAAGCTATGACGTAATTGGCCGACAAATCGGGCCTTCAGAAGACGCCGCTGCAGGATACGAACTCAGCAAATATTACATTCCCGTCACATTTCTACCATTACAGCGAACAAACGTGTTTCTATGGTCGAGCATATCTGCCAGTCCGGCTGTCAAAACCTGGATCCCTCATATTCCCATCATCATCATCATCATCATCATCATCATCATCATCATCATCATCATCTAAAGACTCTAAATTTTGCTTTATTTTTATGTGGAAACAATCATCTGATTCTGAAGGTCAACAAAACAAAAGAAACAGGAACAAGTTGATTCCTGTTAAGATCCTGGGAGAAGAAGAGGAGGAGGAGTAGAAATCCCTCGGTGTTCATCTGGACAACAACCTGGACTGGAGACACAACCTGGGAAGCCGTCTGCAAGAAGGGACAGAGCAGACTGGACTTCTAGAGGAAGCTGAGGTCCTTCAGAGGCTGCAGATCTTCTATCAGTCTGATCTCTTCCTCCATCATCATCATCGCTAATGGCTGACAGAAGCTCAACCAGCTGATAAAGAAGGCCGGCTCTGTTCTAGGAACTCCTCTAGAACCTCTGGAGATGAAGAAGATGATGGACAGCAGTGAGCATCCTCTTCATCAGACTGATAGACACCGTCAGAGGGTCTTCAGTCAGAGGCTGACCCAGATCTGGTGAAAGACAGACCTCTACAGGAGATCCTTCCTACTTACAGCATCTACAGCAACATTTGATTTCCCTTTGGGATCATTAAAGTATATTTGAATGAGATCATTTCAACCGGTGAGACAGAAAGTTGATTTTGGATGTTGGCTGCAGGTAATTAGATCCAGTCACACCGAAAGCAGCAGAGACGATGGTTCTCATGCGTCCAGCAGCAATCTGGGCTGCGACTCAGCGACCCGGATCCTGACTCATCCTCTTTCTGCTGACTAAACATTTCCTCTTCCTGAGAGCAAGAAAAAAATGCTCCAGGAAACAGACAGCAAGACCAGCGGTTTCTGCTTTCTCTCCTGTTCCTACTGATGTCTGAAGATGGTTTGAACATGAAGGAACCTCCAACCGTGGCTTTAACCTCCTTAACCCTGAACAGGAAGTGACGAGGCGAAGGGGCAGAGCTCTGCTGACATGCAGCCGTCTAGATGGGCTTCTATTCGGTTTGTCAGGTGGAACATGGTTCTGCTGAGTCATCTGAACCCATTCAGATCCATGGCATCAGCTGATGCTGCAGAACCAGCATCTGGACATCAGCAGAAACTAACTCATTCCAACAAAATGCTCCCCCCCTCAAACTATTATACCTGAGAGGCCCAGCAGGCGGTCCAGGTCACTCAGAACCGCAGGGTCCACTGCTGGTTTCTGCGAGTGTTAATCAAACGAGGCCTTCAGGGAGACTGAAAGCACTGAATGGACCGCTCCCCTTAGCTTAGCATCAATGCTAAGACTCTAGGCGTTTCTCAATATGAGTTCTTGAGCGTTCTCGTGTGCTCGTGACACGTCATCAGCCTCGGCCCGAGTACCGTTCCAATTCTCGTGAACGCACCAAATCCCCGGATGTTGTTCTGGCCCCGCCCTCTTTATCGAGCATGCATCAGAGCAGACTT